AAGAGAGAGAGAGAGAGAGAGACAGAGACAGAGACAGAGACAGAGACAGAGACAGAGAGACAGAGAGAGACATTCAATGAATCAATAAAATAAAACAAAAATAACACAACAGTTGTCTTCAGGCCCAATGACTATGGGTTATCAGTTGCACTATGCTGAGGTGCTCGGATAAATTCACTTCAATAAAGCTGTAAACTCATTGTGAATGACACTTCAACTCCATTATATCATCATATCATATCTCAAGTTCAAGCTATGCTATTACTGCTGAAGTAGGCCTACCATTCACGACAACAATTTTTGAAAATGTCATCACATTCACAGTACTCTATATTGGTAGCCTACATGACATATATATAATTATATAATAGATCTGTCTTTTGGGTCTTCCAAAAAAAAACTTAATGAAGCCTTGCTCCACAAAAAATGCCCTGAAAAACCATGTATACACAGAATATTAAATTGTTATAAAAAGAACGCAGCTTATTACATTATGATTAAGAATGAAAGGCAGACAGAAGAAATAGCACTCATTGTGATATAAAGTAAACTCTAAGTAAAAGTTGCCCTTCCCTTTAGTTTATGGAGGACAAAACACAGGCAATGCACGCATCTACTTGAAAAGAAGGACTATCTAAAGAGAACTTTTGTGCCTTCCAAGTTGTTTGAGAAGCCTGTACACAAAATAATGCTAGGCTATTTTAGAGTCAGTTCCAACTGGGATTTTGATTTTAAAAGTATGAGCAGTTCTCAAATGGGATCGACACACATATATGTAATTTTTCAGCAGTTTTTGTAGTAAATCTCAGGAAATTACTGACCGAATTCAATGAAATTTGCACACAATATTCCTCAGATGTATATCTTAGGGGTTACAGGGCCATATTGCTATTATCTTTTGTACATTTTGAGTTTGGGGTCAATATGTTGACCCATCCCCTAAAATATCCGAGTTTCAACATCTTTATCCAGGGAACAGTTTTCAAATTTCTGGCTTTGTAACCTCTTTTTCTGTGCTTTTGTTGATAGCCATGCCAAATATTTAAGTTACCTCTTTTTTATTTAAGAAGATTTTCTGAAAATAAAATTTGCAAAAAAACGCTGATTCAGCATATTTTTCCTTTTATGCAATAAGTGTGAATGAAAATGTGATTTCTACAGTACATATCCTTCTATTCCATCCACCTACACATGTATATCATGAATTTTAGGCAAAGAATCCATTAACAAGAGATTTGGCGTCAACCCCCTGCCACCTCTCCTTAAGTACGACTAGCTTGCCAGTCTAGTCGTCTTTAAATACGACTCACCTAGCCGTCTAACTGTCATTAAGTACGGCTAGCCTGCCAGTCTAGCCGTACTTAGCCTCTAGCAGTCTAGTCGTCATTTAGTACGGATAGCCTCTCTTCCTTTCATTATTTTGACGAGCACGCTGATTTCAGCACAATGACAATGCCTCACAAATTAGGGGAGGAGTTCCGCAGAGGGCCGGCACTTACTAAGACAAAGTTAACAGAGAAAACTTTACAAGAGTTGGGTTAGGGTTGTGGTTAGGGTCTGGGTTAAGGTATCCGCTAAAAATCCCTCCGCTGAAAATCCCTCTGTGTGTTGTTGGCAATGTTTGGCTGCCAGCCCTCTGCGAAACTCCTTCCCAAATTAGATCCATCTACATTATTCAGTATAGCCTTACATTAGACTGTACAGAGTGCAGTGTCAGTTGGTCTGATTAATTTGGTTTAAAAAAAAAGTAAAGCACTTTACTTTAACCAAAAGTAGTGTTAATTGCGACAGAGTGACGCTGTGACAACTTACTGCGTTAATTGCCACAGAGTGAACAGGGAGCTCTTTTACGTTGATAATCAGAATCTAACAACATATAAACTAGATCTAGATCTACCATTTCCGTTTCGCTTCCCAGCGAGGTGGTCCTAGTTATTCAGTCTCTCTGTCTGACATGGAAGGCTTTCTAGAGCAGGCATTCAATTCAAATCTTTTACGACAAATTTGACAAAGCTTTTGCTAAATTTAAAGATGAAAATTTTGTTGCCTTTAGGAAGAAATCATCTGCAACATTTGAGAAGGCGACCTTAAAGTGTGTAGCAAAAATCCACAGACTTTCTGAACAGTAGAGTTGACTTTATAAATCTGTAGGCCCTACACAACGTAGACAGCCCAAATATTGAGGCAACAAATATTTATAACAAACCATCAGCAGCATACAGCAACAAAAACCGCTAGCGGCAACAACAAGAAGAAAAGAGCTGTGACTGTCTATGTTTGTTAGTTTGGTGTATGTGTGAGTGTTTGTGTGTGTGAGTGTATGTGTGTGTGTGTCTGGGTGTGTGAGTGCGTGTGCGTGTGGCGTGTGTATTTGTATTGTGTGTGTGTTTGTGTGAGAGTGTGTGAGTGTCTTTTTTTCTTTTTAAAACTTTTTTTTTGTCACAGCCTCTGTCGCAATTAACGCCGCATTAAGCCTAATTGTCACAGACTCACTCTGTCGCAATTAACGCTAGATTCTAGATCTAGATCTAGATCTCTAGATCTACCGGTACCAATTAACGTTAGATCTTACCTAGAATCTAGGGTCTACCGGTACCGTACCAAATCATTAGATGATACTTCACAATAATATCAGGCTACAGGCTCTAGATCTAGATCTAGATCTTATCTAGATCTAGATATCTAGATCTAGATCTAGATCTATGATAATTTCAAAAACAAAAGATTTAAAAGTTGCCTGGTTTCTTTTAAGTTGCCACCCACACAAAAGCCAATTTAACTGACCAGTTCTCCTCGGAACGGTTTCAACAGTCAATTCCACACTGCCAAAGAGATGACCAAGCACAAAAAAACTAAGTCTAAGTCGAAGTCAGCTGCAATGCCTTCATATATAGATCTAATCTAGATCTAGATCTAGATCTAGATAAAGAATCTAGATCTAATATAATGACTAGCCTAGCCGCCTATGTGCCTGTCAGAGCAGGAAACGAAACGACAGTACGACACGTCAAATTTGGTGCCAGTGAATACGTTACACGTCTTTGCTTCTAGTACAGGCTGAGGGCTCGGCAAGCAAATTAAAATGCCACCAAGACTGCCAAGAGAGGTTTAGGCCAAGAGTGTTGATCTAGGCCTAGAATTTCCCCCGTGGCTCATTTAATGTTGTTGTGTTTAGTTGCACCAGAAAGTCAACAGAACTACAGACAGAACATCAAGGGAGCCTACTCTGACATCAAATAGTCTTTCCGTGCTGTTTCCTGATTGGCTATTTAATTGCGGCCGCCATATTCAACTTGTGTTGTTTTCTTTTAGTATTTCCTCGTTCTCAGGAATGTAGATTGTCACTTGTGAAATATGCCAAGGATTTTAAAACGTATTTTAACTTCTGTCCCAGTATGCTCTGAACAGCTTTAAAGGTTTGGATTATCTTAACAAACGCCCATCGATGGATGATAGGAATGTCTTCAAGTAAGTAGAATCTCTAGTCTCGCATCGCACACGCCTCAGACTCAGAGTACTCAGGCCAGTTCAGTTAGCCCACCGTAGCCGTAATTAGAGTCTTGACAAAGTTACGCTTTCCTGCCTTGCTAAAAGTTCAAGTTGGTAGATCTAGATCTAGATATCTAGATCTAGATCTAGAGACTTTCTAGATAGATCCTAGCCTCTAGAGTAAGTGGAAGGACTTCTGTAACGAGCGACCACCACATACCTAGATTCTAGATAGATCTAGATATAGATCTAGATCTAGATCTATATCCTTAACTTAGGCCTAACCCTCCTACTATCCATGGCACATATAGCCTACCCCAGTAATTGTTTACTTTCTCGTGTTTAATTCCCGGGGAGGACTTCCGTAGCGAGGGACCACTCTGATCTATGAATAGAAAGTAGCTATTCTCACCCGCCCGGAAGTTCTCGCAAGATCAACTCCTCCCCTTTTCTCTCTCTCTCTCTGTCTCTTTCTGAATACTGTCTATCGGTGTGGACGATCAAATTGACCAAAACAAAGGTAAAAAATGATGTTAAAACACAAACGTAAATTAATTTGGTTGTCTACAAAGATGCTACGGCTATTTAACTTTTCGAATCGAGCCGAACTACGCGGGTCGCCATTTTTTTTTGCCCGGAAATTCTCGCGCTACTCTTCTCTCTCTTTCTCTCTCTCTCTCCACTGCCCACAGACAAAATTGTACGCTTTTAGTAGTAGGCTACAGTTGTAATGGAACGTTTGTTCACAGCACAGAATTCTACCATTTTTCTGTTATCACAGTGTAGAATTCTGTGGTTTTTAGGGTGAACGCAAAATTTGGTGAACGCGCACCGGGTGAGAATAGCCACAAGACTCGCCTGCACTATTCTCACTCTGGGTGAGAATAGAGGTGGCCCTATGAATATATTAAGGTAGCGTCAATTGCCACCGAGTGACGCGGTGACAATTGACAAAAATTGACTTTTTGTCAATTGCCACCGAGTAAAGCGGTGTTCAAGTCTGAAAACAACACTATCGGTAAATTTTTAATTTCACTCCCGCACACAGATGCACTGTTTCAGGGGTCAAACTGCAGTACTGTTTGCTGCAGATCACACATAAAGCCACTAAAACTGTCGCAAATCAATTATTTTCAAGACAATTTCAAATCTAAAACTGTAAAATATCAAATTATGGGTAAAAACAGCTTTTCTTTTACCCCAGTGGGGCAGGCCCCCCTGGAGCCCCCCGATTGGTCCAAAGCACGTCTATCTCGGTTAAAAACAATAAAATATTTCAAAAACTATTAATTTGCGACGGAAATGAAGTTGATATTCATGTTCTGGGCATCAATATTTAGTAGAAAATAGACAACTGGTAGCCGAGTGTGAGACGGGCGGGAAAGTAAAAAAATACCACACTATCTTTAGCTTTGTATACATAGATCTAGGCCTAATGCGTGTCTAATGGGTCGATTTGTTCTCAACTAATTTCATTGGACGAGCATCTAGTCTAGAGCTAGAGTACCAACTTGGCGTGTTGTCAATGAGACGTAGATCTAGGCTAGCCTTAGCCTACATTTTGGTGTAGAGCCAACACAGGCAATTCTTCTAGAAGTAGAAGGTCACGAACTCAAGCAGAAATTCACGTTATATTGGGGGGGACGGGGGTCAGGAAAAGACACACACACACACACACACACACACAGAGGGACAGAGGCGAATCCACTTGTAACACCGAGCACTCGAGCACAATGCTAGATCTACCCACCAACGCAAAAGAGCTCCAATTTACTCTGTGGCAATCGACAAAAAGTCAATTTTTGTCAATTGCCACCGCGTCACTCGGTGGCAATTGGCGCTACCATATATATATATTAATTGCCATCAAAATCAGTACGGAAGGTCTTAAAGTGTATGTTCAGAAAAAATATTTTTCACTGGCGGTCAACTCAGCAGCATCTCTAGTCTATCTAGATAGATCTAGATCTAGACATCTAATTGTTTTTTACAGTTTTTTGGGCCAACAATAGTAAGGCCTTTTTATATTAGGAATATACGTCTTTAGAGATAGAGTCTAGGCCTAGATCTAGAGATCTCTACAAGAAGCCTACTCTTATCAATTTTAAACCACCAAGGAATCTTTAATGTGCGCAACTTGCACCCGGGACCTCTGAGACTTTTTGCCCTTGTCCGAGAAGGCTAGGAAAAGTATGAGTAGATCTTTCCTACCAGAAGATCAGGGTGTGGCTCAAAGACAGCAGTAAGAAGGAGCCACCAAGGAAAAGCAGTGGAAAGGCTGCAGAAACAGTCTGGGGGGCAAAGGGGGTGTGGGGGTGGTGGCAGAGAGTGGAGACGAAAGCAGATGGCAGAACTTCTCTTTAGAGAGCAAAGGAGGTGAAAGGAGACAATTTTAGAGTAACTCTTTCTGTCGCTAGCCAGATTCGAACCCGGGACCTTTGAATGAGAGGTGAACACCTTAACAGGCCACGAGAGCCACCGATCTAAAGTTTTAATAAAAGGTGAAATGGCAAACACCATGTTATTATCATACCATTATAAAATTTGATTTTTTATAAATCATAATTGAGGTGACCCGTTTTGTCCGAAGTACATTTGGGCACTCTATTGGATGACTGACAAAAATGAAAATGTCCCACCTTCATCAATGTAGAGATCGTAATTCTTTTCAGGTGTTTTTGTTTTGACATTTCATTTACGGGGTATGAAATTATTAATTTGCACACTGAACCGTTTTGTAATTTATTTTTAAAGTGAGAGTTGCCCTCGAGCCCTCCACTTGGAGACATAAAGGCCCTCTGATGTACTCTGGATCCTAAAATAAAATTGGGCGTGTCTCTTTTGGACCATGTTATGTAATATCCCAATCCTTTTGGACCAGTTGAACAGGTGTCACTGTGCCAAAATGCAGTTAGTTAGCCTTTTATTTTGTTTAGTGGAACTCTCAATTTGTTGATAAAACCGAAACAACAATGCACTAAGTCACACAAAAAAAGTGCATGTCAACTTTGACCATTGTTAGATGATAGTCTTGTTAATCAGTTGGTTTTTTTTCTTCATTTATCTCAAAAGTAGCAAAAATGTGTATGTTCCATTTTGCAAGCGCATTGACATAAATTTGTTTTGCCAGTCGAGCAAATGAACTATTGTTTATTAGCAGCATCGAACAAGTTGGTCAAGGAATGTAAAAGTTCAGTTCTACCGAACTCACTTGTTTTTTTGGTTTTTTTTCAACACTTTGGTCTGCATGTGATGTGTTTTTAATTTTGGCTTGTGAACTGTCCCATGATGACAAGGAAGGGGGCTCTTGTGGTCAAAAGATTAAAGTGTTTACTTCTCTTTCAATATAGGTCGCGGGTTCGAAACCTAAGGGAGACGGAACATTTTCTTCTCTAAATTTTTCTCTGTTCACCTCTTTCTAGCTCTTTAACCATGTTCTGTCTTCTCTGCTTTCATCTCCACTTTCTGCATTCATGCACTGTTCTGGGCTCCTGATTCTTTCTTGCAGCCTTTTTAAGCTGCTCCTTGGCTCCTTTCTTACTATTGCTGTTTTTCAGCCACACCCCTGATCTTAGGGTAGGTAAGATTAAGATCCAACACCTAGCCTTCTCGGAAAAGGGCAAAAATTCTTGGTTGTCCCGTGTGCAAGTTGCGCACGTTGAAGACCCCTTGGTGCTCCAAATTAATTCTCCTACCAAACTGAAAATGTTTAATGTGTCCCGCGCACTCATATCATGACCTATTATAACAGTTGCGAGCCCCGTGATACACTTGAGAAAGAAAGAGATGATGATGAGGACAATGGGTTGGGGGAGGGGTGTTATTCGTACTTAATAATACGTTTTAGTGTGGTTCAAGAAAAAGGCGGCAAACTCCAACATTTAACTCAGCTGCAAAACGAAAGGAATACAAACGTTAATATTTCTCCTGCTCGACGCCCTACTTCCACTTCCCTGTGTTAAACAGGGTGCAACAAATACATAGCAGACCATCGTCGGAATCGAAAATTTTATTCGTTTCAAAAGCCTAGATTTCTAAACTCTCTTCTACAGTAGAAAAAACAACCTCCAAATAATATAGCCTGAATGGTACGATGCCGGCGGCAACTTGCAATAGCTCGGTTTTACTCTGAAAACTCAGGGTTTAATCTTTTGATATTTTGTGTTTCTTTTATTTAATATAATATTTTTATGCAGTCGAACCTGCTCTAATGACCACCTGTGCAAAACAGTCATCTATAAACCTGTATAAACGGCCATTTCCATTCTCCCTTTTCTCCCCCCCCCCCCCCCCCCCCCCGCCACCCAACAAACGTTTATGCTTTTCCATGACAATATGTCCAAAGCCATTCTCTCTTCGACAATGGGAGTTGGTCGTCTTGTACAGGTTTGACTGTGTGGCATCTAATAGATCATCATCATCCAGTGCCAGATCTGCGACAGGCATCGGCGATCATGGTTCTCCATTCATTCCTTTGCTTGGAAGCTAAAAATATCTACGTTTCCCTGATCTTTCCCTGTTACCCGTTTGTTTAAATTCCCTAAGTAATTAGCTCTGGGCCTACCCCTGCCTTGTTTTACTTCGATTTTGCTAGTGAGAGCTAGATGTTCAAGACTTTTATGTCTATTCAGGTGTCCCAAAATCTAATAGATAATAATTATTACATAAAGCCCCCCACAGGACACGAATCAATAGTTTTCTACTACGTTACAATTCATTCAAATTGCAATCCATCCCGTTATATGAGCGACACCATTGGGGGCAGTAAACACAAACAGTAGTTGGCAACATGTTGCATGTATCAGGATGCAGATCATAATACTATACTCTACGGTATTTCTTCTCCTTCTGTAAGTGTACGTTCCTAATTTGTCGCGTGTGTGTGTGTGCGCGCGCTTGCGTGTGTGTGTTTGTGTGTGTTTTTCTGTCTCTCGTGTTTGTGCAAATGCATGCTTGTGTGTGTGCGTCTGTGTGTGACTTTTCTGTTGACATCCCCCCCTTGGCGCTCACATGAACCTTATGCAGTTGCGGGTTTCTCAAAACCTTAAAAAAACTAACTTTCCTTCACCACCAGACCCCTTTGTGTGGAGCAAGAACCCCCACCCCTTCCTAAAAATATATTTGAAAAAGAAAACGAAAAAAACAACAACAACGCAAGAGACCTGTGCCATACCTTGCCCTTATTACACTGTGCGGTCGTCGGGCCTGCTTCTACTACTAGTGCTACAATAATGTTCTAGTCTCCCCCACCCACCTCCGTCTAGTCTTTCATCAGCCTCCATAATGTACGGTTATTATCCTGTCAGCCGTGACTTGATCTGAACCATCCAGACCACAGAGCTCACTGTGATGATAGACTACACTCGCTCGGACTTACACACGAGACTGAAGATGGCCCTTTAGCAACAGTGACAGACTCTGGGCGGGCCATCCGCCTCTTCTCCCTCCCCCTTTTTTGGGGGAAAAAGGGGGGGGGGGGGTTGTCTATGGGATTTTAAAGTAAATTTTTGAATCCTCCAATCGAAACGGACTTGTCCTAGTACGCAAAGAAACTGTGAAAGAAAAGGGAACAGGAAGGCGGTGATGGTGGTGTATTCGTCTCATTACGACAATAATCACAACTGCTTTGTCCATTGATATTGTATGTTTTTTGTTGTTTTTGATAAGAGTTTTACGGCGCTCGAAACTGCATATAGGGTCAAATTATTATGAGCGCGCGAGAACTGCTTTGCTGGCGGTTATAGAGCAAAGATCATGTATCTTTTGGTCGGAGGGCGCCACTGGCCACTGGTACTGTAGGTCCTATAGGCTACTTCTTTACCTTCCCCATGTTATTTTTGTCTGTCTTACCTTTTCCCAGGACTAATTTAAATGACTCTTTTTATGTCTATGTGCTTTTCCTGACTTAAACAAACGAACCAACAGAATAGTTTGTTTTTAAGGAACTTTCTTGTAGTTGAAGCTGCTGTATTTCATCTTGATCTAGTCAGTTTAAAAAATACTTTTTTGTTTGTTTTAATAAGGTTTTACGGCACTCGCAACTGCATAAGGTCATATGGGCGCCAAAATACTTTTAAAATCTGTATTCCGTAGGGATACTTTTTTATTTTTACTACGGTAGACAAAAAGTGCATCTTTTGTGTCTGTTTTGTTTTTCAAGTAAAAAAAAAAGTAAATTGTTGAAGTAGGAGAAAGAACTGTTGAGCTTACTTTCCTTGATTTTTTTTGGTTTGTTTGTTTCGGAGTAGTTTCGGGGGCGGTGGTATTGGCTACCCATTTTTTCTGTTATATTAAGGACAACATGACTTTTGACTAGGGAGTCTTACAGTAGGCCTATTCCTCTGGCAGTGTTAACGTTGCACTTCATAACACAACGTGGAAGCTAGTGCCCACTCTCATAATTTAAGGAAGCCACAAACACACGCGTTCAGTCATTCTCTCACACACACGCTCGCGCTCTTAAATTGTTATAATGTTAGGTAGGCAGACTGCATGCTTGCTGCATGCTCTCGCTTTTGCGTGTGCATCGGATACATAGTAATGTACTTTATAACGCATGTCCATTTGTATGCATGCTAAAGCAAACATATTCACATAACTGGAGCATACGGATGGGACGACAGTCGCTTTTTTGTGTTTCTCAATATCAATAACACCATAATGATATTCTATTGGGTAAGTTGTGACACTTTATAATATTATTTCCCTTCCGCTGCATGGACATCTTTACTCAGTATGTGTACTCACGAACACACACACATACACATGCATACACACATGTTCATGATCGAAAAGTAGCTCACTGTACGTACTTAGTAGTCGCACGCGCAACTACTCACTCACATTCGCAGACACCTAGACGGTCAGAGATAGTATAAGAACGTATAGGCAGACACCAAGGAGTTTACAGTTCTTAACTCCTTGGCAGACACCCATCATGCGCTTTAGCTTGACCACGCACGCACGCCCTCTCTCTTTCTCTCTCTCTCTTTCTCTCTTTCTCTCTCTTTCTCTCTCTCTCTCTCTCCCTCTCTCTCTCTCTCTCTCTCTCTCTCACACACACACACACACACACACACACACACACACGAACAAACACACACACACACACACACGAACAAACACATACACACACTAACAGGCCTCAGGTCCCTCTAACGCTTTTCATGTAACAACTAGCTACAGTACAACAAACTAGAGAAACTAAACCAACCCACCCCGGGGGACACTCAATGATTACGTCGGTTTGCCCACTCTGTGTCCATCCCTGGCGCCCTTTGTGCCGACCACGAGAGCTTGCCTGCCAGGTAGCCCCGCCCACCCCTGCCTGCGACTGACCAATCAAGCGAGCCGTTGGTAGTTTTGGTGGGAGTTTGAACGTCCTAGGACAGGACCATGTGTGTGGTAGGCCTAGTGTAGCGAGTCAAGGTAGCGTGTGTTAGTGTGTTCTACCGCTCTCTATGCTGTGGTGTTGTTATAGTTGCAGCGTGTGTGTTCAACAGGGATGCTGGCCAGTGTTTACATTACACATCTCTACAGCTATTAGAACCAAGAGTTTTCTAACTGAGATTTCTATAAGTTCCGATTTCAGTTTGTTGAGTTTTTGCGGAAGTTTGAAGTAGAAAGTCCCATGTTAATGATGCTTTGAATTAAAATATATCTGTCTTCAGGGTGCTTCAATCAAAAAGTGTTGTGGTGTGATTCTGTGCTGACAAGTTCTGTTCTTTGTTGAATCCCGCACTCCTCCATCCATCCATCGCCGAACTTCTCCTCAACGCGTGGTTAGCCCATACTGTTTTAGATTCTACAGTTTGCAGTGCTGGCCTGATTGTGTCGGAACTTGTTTGTGAACATTGGTGGTGAAGTTGAGATAAACTAGAAAGCCCTCCCTACTTTTATTACTACAAGTAACTTACGTCTAGCTACTTTTTACCTCAGCTAGAATCTAGATCTAGTTAAGTGCGGGGATCCTCATTGACTCATTGATTGACAAAATTGGAAGAAGTGTGCCGGCGATTGAACATTTTGGAATACTTTTTTTGGTGAAAAGTTTCGAGACTGACCCTACCTAAATTCTTATCACAGTAATAGTAGCTCTGGTTTTTAAGAGTCAGAGTACAGTTGTAGAATCTTGATCTCGATCCACACCAGTCTGGTTAGATTTACTTGCTGACTGGATCAAGGCAATTGTTTTGTTCGAGAGTGACTAGAGTCCGGTTTGACTCTGTTAAATTGTCTAAGTTACTTTGAAGGTTGGAAAGGAAGATGGCGGATGGTCAAAGATTTAAGTTCAAAGTTCCCAAGTTTCTCCAGAAGAAATCGGGAAACAAGTCGTATAAAGCCCTCGCCACCAAGGACAAAACTGGGGAGAGTGCTGACCCGGGCAACAGTTCTCGCAATAATGGTGGCAACGTTACCGAGACCAGTGGGAAAAAGCTCCAGCGTCTCCAGTCTTTGGAGAGTCTGAAGCAGGCCGGGTTCTCCATGAAAGACAAACTGTCTAAAGCGTCAAGTACTGAGCTTTTGCCGCAGACAGAAAAATTGCTGGATGGCGATGGTAGTGACAGCGATGACTTACAGGATGCAGAGAAGTCAACTGACGATGATGAATGCTCGAATGTGGAAATGATGAAAGAGGACAAAAGCACAACTACCATTAGCGCAAATGAAACAGGAAACGACAACTTTAGACTTGATTTGGATAATGGTGGCACCTCAAATGCTGAGACCACATCAGCTCTCGACAGTGGCAAGTTTACAGATGATTCTGGAAACATATCTGACGCCAGTGCGGTCGGGGCGACAAATACAAGCTCCAGTGACAGTGGGCTGTCCGAGAAACACTCGGCGGAAGAGGGCAGTTCTGGCAGCAGTGTGGAGAGCGGAGAACAACCATCTGCCACTGGTTACAGAGGTCGTAAAAGAAAGATGCTGTTACAAATTTTTGAAGAAGAGCCGGAGTCTAGCAGTGAATATGACGCGCCCAGTACAAGTGGGACGTCTGTCATGGAACACGAACCGTTTGATGATGTAGCCACCGCTGCCGATCTGGATTGGGAACGAGAGAATGCTGGAATGGAACTGAGTGAGTTACCCTCTGCCCCCATTGAAGAAGACGATGGCAAGAGCAAAGACTTCAAGTGAGTAAAACACATTTTCGCGGCTCCAAGAGTATTTTTTTAACCTTTGGAGTTTTTGCGTTAAATTTTCTGTTGTGACTTTGTTGTGGAAACTTTAACCCTGGTTGATTTGGTTCGTTCTTGCTGTTGTAACTTGTAACACTGTTGTAACTTGTAACACTGTTGACACTGTTGTGTTTGGGATGATCTGGAATCACGAACTCGATTAGATTCCCCTTGCAGATTGTTTTGAGCACTTTCACCGGTTTGGTTGGTAATGATCAAGACAGTCAGGATATCATGTTGCTGGTGAGGGCAATGACTTATTCAGTGAGTAAAGAACACATTTGAGACTTTTCCAAGTTTTTGTGTTTTTAACTTTATTGATGTTGTTGAAAGTTTTACACACACTGCTGGTTGTCTGAAAACTTTTTTGTCATGGTAACTTGATGTCATTATTTATTATAATGTTAAAACTAGAAAAATACATATTTGTTGTACATTGTTTGATCATGCTGTGTTTCTTTCAATTCTTTTAGTGTTGGCTTTGAGTCAGTTGATTTAAATTGAATTTTAATAAAACTTTGTTGTCATAGATAACTTCAGTTCATAGACTTAAAAAATTTTAAACTTATTATAATCTAGTAGTACAGTGACTAAACAATATTGAACTTGTAGTTTTTGCCCTTCTGAATTACCTTTGTCCCAATCTTGCCATAATGACATGATGTTTCTGTTAATTCTTCTGTTTCCTTTTTAATAAAACATCTTTTTCCAAATGCCCTTTATTTTGTACAAAAAAACAAAATTTGGAATAGCTTCTTTTTAAAATGTGTGTACCTTTCAATTAGATGTTCTTCCTATTTGGTATATGCTATTTGTGCTTCACTTTTTCCAGAGTGGCTAACATCACTTATTACTAACAAATTTGTTTTTATTGTACTTTTGATTTGTCCTGCAATATAATATGAAGAACCGGTATGCTTTTTATCATTGTGTAGCTTTTAAATATTTTTATCTAAATTGTGCCGAAGAGTCATGTCTACATTATTTATTTAAAAAAATATATTTTGCATTCTTGTCATTTTAACTCTTTAGTTTAGTTTTTGATTGTCTTATCTCAACTCTATAGCTTTTGAATGCATGTTTTTGCATTCTAGTCATTTCAGTTCTATGAGTTTTGAATGTTTTATCTCAACTCTCTCTATATACTATAGCTTTTGAATGTTTTGCATTCTTGTCATTTCAGCTCTATGAGTTTTGAATGTTTTATCTCAACTCTCTCTATATATACTATAGCTTTTGAATGTTTTGCATTCTAGTCATTTCAGCTCTATGAGTTTTGAATGTTTTATCTCAACTCTCTCTATATACTATAGCTTTTGAATGTTTTGCATTCTAGTCATTTTTCTATAGCTTTCGAATCTTTTGCCTTCTCATGTTGCTTCACTGCAAAGAACCAAGCCTTTTCATCAATTTATGGTTGTCCAACCCTACGTGTCTAGTCTATGCCTTCAGTTCTGTTTCTATACATGATGTATACATGTTAAGTGTTTGAAGAGACTTTGAATCCTTTCAGTGCGGAGGTGTTTCCATTTTCATTAGACGAGACGAAATATTCCATGAAGAGGCATTTTTAAAGCGAAGCCATGTACATTAATTGCTCTGAGTAATTGAGAGTAGGGCACTGTACACTTGCAAATGCATGTACTTTTACAAGCATAATTTTATTTATTATATATATTAAAAGATACTGCCTTTAATTTAACTTTTGAAACTTAAAAAAAAAAAAAAGTATCAGGGATCCTGTTTGGAAGAACACGAGTGAACTAGAATGCAATGTACTTACGTCTACACAGCAGTGAAGGGAGGAACTTTAACCTGTCTACACGTTGAACTATTCCATAGACTAGATCTAGGTCTTTCTTCACACAACTCTCACTTTTATGCCAGTGTCAGCTTTTTGTGGATAGTGCCGGGGTGGCGTTTTTTGCATTTTGTCTGTCTATCTCTATCCCTCTCTCTTATCAGCGAAAGATCTTGTCACTTTGTTTGTATTTGAGCGCTTAAAAATCGGCTGCTTACACTGCATGCTTCCCGAGGAGCCAGGAATGTTTCTGAATGTTCTATCGTCTGCTAGCAGGGTAATGGTGTTGTACCAGATTGTAAAGCGCATGTAGAGTTTGCTGTGGGACGGAGTATGCGTTTTATACAATTTAAAAAAAATGTTATCAGAGCAGAAAGAGAGAGCGGGG